TAAATTACATTTTATCATCAATCAAAGTTCACAATGAAAAAAATTGACCAAAACACTTACCAAATAATTTATTAGTAAATTCTCAAGTTTATCACAAAAATTTGAAATAGAATATCAAAAATTATAAAAAAAAACTGAAAACTTAAGAACTAATCAACTTTGAATATTTAAACATGTTTCTAATGCCATATATAGGAAGTAATTGAGGCTTTATACCTCTTAATGTCACCAACCAATCTCTCAAGCACATAAGAAACGCAAAATAAACAATACAAGACATCCAAAATGTAGAACAAATTAGCCCATTTGGAATACAACAGATTTCTATTATCAAAACATCTAAGACACGAAGAAAACACGAAAAGAATGAAAGAGGAGTAAACTCACTCAACGGGAGAGATTAAAACTCGAGAAGAGCAATAATGGATGGCGGAGGACGGCGAAGATCAACCACGTCGTCGATAGAGGACCAAACATGGCAAAAAAATAGTAGCGATTTATTGGTATTGCAGTTTTGGTGGTGGTGGGATAAAAGGGGACCATAGCACACTAACTGTGTAAAACTATGAAAATGTGAAAGACAAAACATGGGATAAGGTTATTTAAAACTTTCCACAACGATTATCTTGATAATCACCGTGAAAAATATTTTTAACGACGGTTATTCCTCTTAACCATCGTTAAAATTACTTTCCACAGTGGTTAGCTTAATAACGACCGTGGAAAGTAAATGGTCATGTCATTTTATTTACAAAAATGCCACCACTTTTTTTTTACGGTGTTTTTCTGTTTAACCGCCATTGTTCCCCAACATTATATGTTGTTTTTGTAGTAGAGCAAAGTCGAGGCTTTCCTAGTCAAATACTCATATTGCTCATTTTTATTATTGTCACATGTCATGTTTGGCTTTAATTTAAGACAAAACACAAACACAATAATCATGTTGGGCACCTCCCTCTTTTTATATTTCAAAATGTAGGTTCTAGTGGCTTGAAATTACAAATAGCAATCAAACTTCTCATTTATAAGAAAGTTGTATATTTGATCCTTTTAAGCTTTCCTCAAATTTCTGTTTAGTCTCTTAAATTTATAAAATGTATTTTTAGTCTTAATCTTAACATTATTAGTTTCATTTAACCAACAATACTAACTCAATAAATTTAAATAATGGATTTGCAATTAAATAGTGAGAAAATATGCTCCAAATTTTAATTCTTTAATGTAATCATTTTTATATTTTAAAATTTAAGCATTGAAAGAATTAGATATCTAGTATAATATTAAAAATTTAAGCATTTATAAAAATAATTTTATTCAGAATTAAAATATAGAGCATGCTTTATTAGTATTTAATAGCTGAGTCACCATTTAAATTTGTTGAATCAGTATTTTCTATTAAATGAGACTAATTATGTTAACATTAAAGGAATAAAAATGTATTTTCTAAATTTAAATGAATAAATTGAAAGTTAATGTGAATTGGACTTGGGCTTATCATAGATTTGGGCCGTTGAGACTTTAACTTCAACATTGCCCAAATCGGCAAAGGAACTAAACGAAAGACCTTCGAGGTTTTAACTGAACTCAAGTCGGAAATGGCCTTTGTTTTTTTTTAACCAGCCGGAAATGGGCTTTAAGATCATCCCAATGTGAACACTCCAAGTGACTATGATCTTCAGCAGTATTGGGCTAGTGGCCCAAGAAAAAATCTTCAATGGATAAAAATTATTTTTTTCCCCTTTTCTTGTGTTGAAAAAAATATTTTTATTGCTTGATTCTCGACAATTTAATCCCTCTTTCTATGTAGGTCTGTTTTGATGGAAATTAATTATTTACTTAAAATATAATCAAATAACAACCACATTTCAAAAATGACTTTTTTGGATGTACCCATTCATGTCTTTTGCTTTTTCATGAAAGAGAATATATTGTTGGCAAGAAAAATATAGAAAGAAAGAGAAACGACCCCGTTGTATTGAGATATAGGATTAAGATTAGGATTGGGAAAGCTCACTAAAAATTCTTTATTTCTTCAAGTTTAATAAAATAGTTACTTTTCATGAGAAGTTTTGTATATTCATGCTTACTTGTAATTCTTATGTTTTTTGGTACATAGTAATCCTTACAATTTGGGTTGATTGAATTTAATTAGTTAGAAAAACTAATTAATTTAGTTGATAAGGAGTCAGCTTATAACCCATAAAGTTGTGAGTTCGAATCCTGCTACTGATATATAGACCTTATTAATGGGCAATTTGTAAGCACATTTATAAGTTTTTTCTGAGTCTGGAGATATGCCTTAATTCTAGTGAGCCTCCAAGACCCAACTCAACTAATTTTTTTTAATTAAAAAACAAATTAGTTATAAAAAAATTTCCCTAAGGACAGAATTGAATCCAGCTAAGGCCAAAGTGCCAAATAATTCCTTTAGTAAATTAGTAATAACATGGGTTTGATGAATAATGCAAATTAAATGAACAAAAAATTAACTGAAACAATTAAAAATTAATGTGTTTAGTTTTGACTTTTGAATCATTCAAAATCTTATTTTACATTATTTATAAACTATAATATAATTTTGTCCCCTTGTAACAGTAATTTATGATACTTATTAGATTCCACCTAATTCATTTAATATAAGATATCTATCTTAAGTAGAATAATTCAATCCAGATTTAAATGCAAGGATATTATTATATAATAAAATTATTTCCTGTTAATTCAGCATGCAAATTACTAATTTTTAAAATATAAAAAAATTTATAAAAATAAGGGTAATTGATCAGAAAGGGCCACCTCTTAACATTGATGAGTCCTTTTGACTTTTGTAAGAAGCCACTATGTCAACGTGCATCAAGCTTTATCAGACCAAAATATTAAGGGTTAGGTTATAGATTTATTATCCTAAAGCATATTCTCGGTAACATTCACTATCACAAAATAATTTTTAGTGTAATTTCATTTTTAAAATATTTTTTCAATAGCAAATGCGTCCCTCTCATTTTTAAAAGCCATGCATCTCTCCATTAACTTCCTTAAAAGTCTATTAAGTTGGGCTTGCAAATTTAAAGTTAATTTGCATTCAACATCATAAAATATTATTTTAATTGTACTTAGTATTCTAAAATAATTTTTGTGCAATTTCATCCTTAAACATGATGACAAACAAACACATAGTAATCAACATGTATTCTAACTCATATTGTATTCATGTTTTAATTTTGTAAATTGTGAAATTGCCACGTTTACTTAATTAATATATAGTACTCAATATCCAATAATGTGTCCTTTGACAAAAGGATAATGCTAATTATGAGGAGATGGGCACTCAACACCCCAACATGTGCACCCCATAATTATTAGATATGAATTCATTAATTAGTTTAATTTTTACTTTGTAATAATAATAATAATCATTTAAAATAATAGAAATACAAGAAAATTAGTAAAAAAAAATGAATTAGTAATATTGTGTTTGAAGTGGGGACATTTGAATTTGAATTTGGAACTTGCCAATTTCATTATTTAGATACATAAAAATTCGTGAATTTGGGTCAGCTTCAAATATTTCAAATACACTGCTCTAGTTCATGTTGTGATTTTAAAATTTGAAAATTTTATTAAACCGAAACAAAAAATTTTAAATATAAAATTTAAATTCAAATTTATTCATCCAACATTTTAAGCTTGTCATTCTTGTCTCTATTATTGAGGGAATATATTTCTTATACGTCTTGAAAAAACCATATGCAGAAGAATCATTTAAACTAATTTTTCTTATGGTGATGGTTATTATGAAAAATATTAACCTTAGAAAATGATAAATATACTACTATTTTTAAGAATGATTTGCACATTAATTAGAGTTAAAGTAACAAGAAACTGGCACCTAAATTAATCCAACTGTTAGGCAAGCAAGATGGAGACAATTTTTGAAAAGGTAAAAGAAAGTCTGAAGCCGTTTGGCAGAAGCAAAAAAGACCGAAAGAGAGAAGCACTTTTCAGGTTCGTTCCTTAGCAAGTGGCACAGAATTTATGAATGCCTTGCCTTGTAATCCATTTCACTTATTAATGCTAAAAAAAGGTTTTTTTTAATTAATTAAGCAACTAAAAAGCACAAGTCCCACTTTCACTTTCACTTTCATTTCGTTTTCTGTTTTTTTTTTTTTAATTTGAGCCATATTTTTCCTTTTCCAATACTGTTTCTTTATGCATTAGCAACCTATTTACATAATATTTTATAGGATTAATATCATCTTTAAAGTATAAAGTTTGATCTTGTTTTTGTTTAGGCTAGTGGAATTTGAAATCAGTGATTATGATACATAAAATTTGACATCATTTTAGTCTGTCCAAAAATTTCTAATCCTTAAAACAGTATTTTTTAATTCTTAAAATAAGATTTTAAGGATTAAAATTATTTGTTTCAAATTTCAAAAAGTAAAACTAAATTGAGGTCAAATTTCATGAAGTAAAGATTTTATAAACCTTACTTTATATAACTCTCTCTTTTATTCATCTAACTTTGCCATGCTCTTTTTATAATATTCTATTAATAATTAATAGGTTTAGAGAAGAAGAAAGAAAAAGAAACCCTTCCACCAACTTTAATACTATTTTATTTTATATTATTTCTCCACTAGATCTCAACCAAAACCAGGTAATTATTTCCATTTAAATATTATTAACATGGACAATAATATATGAACCAAGTCCACCTGTTCACAAATAATACATTATCTATTAGTTTTGTTTATCCCAAAATGCATCCGAAAATATGTTAATTTATTATTATATTTATTATTGTGAAATATCCTTTCACATTTATTATTATTTTAATGTCAACTTGGGCAGTCTCAGAAAAGTTCGTAAAAAAAAAAGAAAAAGAAAACAGGCTCCCGGCAATAAAAGGAAAAAAATTATAAAGAGCTTATTTAATCTCCGCATTTTCCATTCCAAACGCAAAATTCAAAACTAATTCAACTACTTAACTCTCTTTCTTCACAAAATTTATCTGTCTTTCTCCCCATAGAAGGAAGAACATATTTCTCTTAACACTCATTTTCTTCTTGATGGAATTCCTTGTTTTCCCCATATTTTTTCTGTGAAAAAAAGTCATCGGACTGGTGCAAAGTTAAAGTCTTGTAGACCTCCTCTTCTGTTTTCAAGCTGAGCTTCAGAAAGTTTGAAATTTTTTTTGTTGTATTGGTATTTTTTGGTTCCAAACTATTTTCCTTCGGAAGAACAGTGGATACAGTAATGGCTCTGCGTGCTTGCGTCTGAAGTGGAAAGAGAAATGGGATGATGTTGTGAGGTTTCATGTGGGAGGATTTTCAACTTTGAAGCATGGAGGTCAGGGATGTTGTTAATAATGGGGTCACGGTGGTCCGATCAGATGCTCCGTCGAACTACCATGTAGCTCCGAGGACTGAAGTCCCGTCTTCCCTCGGGGGATCAACGGCACCGGCACCTCAAGGGAGTGTTGCGCCACCTCAACCAGTTGTTGCGGGAGTGGCTACGGCTGCGACAACGATGCCGGTGAAGAAGAAGAGGGGTCGGCCGAGGAAGTACGGACCAGATGGGTCAGTGGCAATGGCTCTATCTCCGTCGCCGTTATCTTCTTCGGCTCCGCCGGCTGTGATCGATTTCTCGGCCGGCAAACGCGGTAAAGTGCGCCCTGCTAACTCAGTACGCAAAGCCAAATTCGAAGTTGAAGATTCAGGTAACGGATCTTCTTGCTATATGCTTATGTGATTGTAACTAAACACAGTACCTGCGAAGCAGAGATTTATGCTATAATTTTTGTAGTAGAGAAATAGACGACCTTACAGCTCTGAGAAAGAACATTGACGATGTGGGACCTCTCACATCTAAATGGGTTCCCTTTTTGTCCTGAAAAGTGAACTAGCTTAGCTGGTGGAATCTTCTGCTGCAATGGTCATTTGAGTGTTCCAAGTTCAAACCTGTCTTTTGATTAGATTTACGCCAAAATCTTCCTTCAAGGCTTCAAACAAAAAAAAAAGCTCATTCTTTATTTGTTCCCTCCATTATTGAATCTCTTTGGTTCTGTTGTCTTTATTTCGTTGCTGCTCCCTTGGAATTGGGCGTAGTCTGTAAACAACGTTAATGTTAATGGACACACAGTTGACCGGTTCATATTGCTTGCTGCTTAACGGTCAGCTAATGCAGTTCATGGTCCTTGCTTCTCATACAGTTTACTGGATATTAAGATTGATGTGGTTTTTTTTTTTTTTTTGTGTGGTAATCCAAGAAGATTGCTGTGGATAATTAGCATATAGTTGTCTGGCCTTTCTTTCTTTGCTTAGGCATAACGAATATTTTACTGAGATTTTTATTCAAAACTGCCTGCCAAAATTGTGAGCCTGCTTTTCTATCCGCTTATTGTAAAAAGGGGGGGGGGGGGAGAAGAAAAAAAGAGGTATAAAATGTAGTTAGTTTAAACATGATAAGAGTAATAATTTTAGCATTTCTCCTAGAATTTCCCTGGTCATTTTCTGCTTGCTTTTCTGCATAGCTTTTAGTTCTGATATTCTAATCAATCGACCAAATACATCAACTTTGGCTATATATGAACAACTATTGGTTCAAATTTAGTACCAAGTTGGATAGCATTTTCTAAATCATTCGGGTAAAATAATTACTAGAACTATTCTGGAATAGGAAGCTTTCAGTGTTTTGTTTATTAGAGCAGTGTTTTTGAATTAATATCTTGTCATTTATAATTTGAAGGTTATCAGTGAAAATAATTTAGCATTTAATGGACACATCTGATACAGAGTTCTAAACCAGTGACTTGCAATTGCAAATATTTGAAGGAATAAAGAACAATTATGGCAGAATCTTCTTTGTTGATTGAATATTGCAATACTACTTGTCTACCTGAAAAGGAAGGACTTGTAACATTGCTGTCCTCTGTGCAAGGAAATCAAATTTTGATAAAAAGGATGAGGACGGAAACATTTGAAAGAAAGGGGTGTTGTGAATCCTAAGTTATAAATAGTCTCTGTTCTATCACTGTTCACATTCTTTATATGGCTTATGGAGAAATGCCATACTTAGAAGCTGAGATTTCTGTTTTTTTTTTTTTTGGGGGGGGGGGGGAGCTTTGTTACCGTTTTGATAGGGAACGTTGCCATTATCAATTGTGATTAATTATTAAAAACATACTTCTTTTAGGTGAATGGGTTGCAGGCTCCGTTGGTACTAATTTTACACCTCATATCATTGCCATTAATTCCGGGGAGGTAAGCATCAGACATATTTACTAACTATATCGAGTAATTTCTGCAATTCACAGTTTTCCTATTCATTTTTCAATGTTCATTCTATTCTCTCCTCTAGCCCTTTAAATCTTTCCTTATTAGTTAGAAACTTGATCACTTCTTAGATTATTACACACCCAACGTTACATGCTTTTCTTTTCATCATTTGAGGTGATAGCATGCATTAATAAAGGAGATGAACTAGTAAGATGGCATTGGTAAGAACAAGAAAGAGAGATTGAACACATACGCAGAAAAGTAGAAGTGGCTCCTATTGAAGAGAAAATAGTGGGAAATTGTTTGAGATGGTTAGGTCAAATTCAACGAACGCCTTTGAATGTGCCAGTAAGGAGGATTAATCAAACAGTATAGGCTATGGAGTTTTCTGAAAAGGAGCAAAGGAGGCCAAAGAGAACACTCAATGAAGTTATTGAGTGAAATTTTTCAGTTAGTAATCTATCCAAATTTAGTCTTTGGATAGAGTTCAATGGCATGTACAATCCATTCAGCCAACCCTATCTAGTGGGATAAAGTTTTTTGTTGTTGTTGTTGTATTATCTTCTTTTTTTTTCTTTTTTTGTGAAACTGAAACTGGTATGTACGGTGACATCCATTCTATCGTTGGTTGTCTCAGGACATCACAATGAAGATAATATCATTTTCTCAGCAAGGGCCGCGAGCTATATGCATTCTTTCTGCAAGTGGAGTTATATCAAGCGTCATGCTTCGGCAGGCTGATTCTTCTGGGGGTACATTGACACATGAGGTAGTGTGCCATTTTCCCCACGGCCCCAGAGTACTGATGGCATCATTATCTATACTTTTTTTTTTTTTTTTTGGTGAGTCATTATCTATACTTCAATGAAGATAAATGGAATTTGTTTAAGTTTGTTAATTGTTTGTTGTTTTCAATATATTTTATCAATAATACAAAAGTGAAACGATTATTTCTTTGGAGATTAATATTTAATGCTGTTCAGAAACAGATGATAGAAGAAGAAAATTTTATTTTTTCTTTGATGGGCTTAATTGCCTAATGATCTACAAGTGCGGCCTACCAGCCTTTCTAAATTCTGTTTTTCCAGTATTTGTTGAACATTATTTTCAGTGACTTTCCATTCTGTTGTCTTTGAATATATTGTTATAGCTTTTACTACATACTTGGTAAAAAGATATCTTTGCTGCAGCAATCTCCATTATTTTGAGCCACTGTTGCTGCTTAACCTGCAACATTTTTTCGGTAAAAAAAAAAAAAAAACTGGAACATTTTCATCAAAACTGGTGAAAACTTGGACTCAACATGTCGGTTTCTTTCCTTGTGTGTTCATATGAAAGGTTTATCTTTTCTTCCTGGGGAATAAATAAAAAGTATTATCTTTTCTTTAGCTTTCTGATACCACTGCTTTTCATCACAAGTGAAAATCCCATCTTTTTGCTGTTGTTTTCCACAGGGACGGTTTGAAATTTTGTCATTATCTGGCTCATTCATGCCGAATGAAAGTGCAGGAACACGAAGCAGATCGGGTGGCATGAGTGTTTCTTTAGCAAGTCCAGATGGGCGCGTCATAGGGGGTAGTGTAGCTGGTTTGTTGTTGTCTCTTTCCATAATATTACCTCTTCTTTCTTTTCTTTTCGTTCTTTTGTTTTGTGGTCTTCGACTGGGAAAAGCATAATAATTCTAAGCGCTAAAGACCGCCTATGACAAAATTTGTCATCTTCCATGAATGAAATAGTTGATTCAGATTCATTGTGTGGTGACAATAATTTATAGGTGTCAATAAGGCCTCACTTATTCAACCCTAATAAAAGGGCTTTTCAACTCAACACTCTTGACCCTATGGTTAGGGGCCTAATAGGGCTGCCTGGGCTCTTTCTTTTTTCTTTTTATTTCTTTTTAGGCTCACAGATTGTCTATTTCTGCCATGTGAGCCTCGAAGCTGGCTCTCCACAAGCTTCAAATCATGAAAACACCCTCACTGCTTGCAGGGATAAGGTTGTATACAATTTTTCCCTCCCCAGATCCTGCCCTCCCTGGTGGGAGTCTTGTGCACTTGACCGCCTTTTTTTCCAGATTCTTCATTTCTCTTCTGTGGAGAGGATTTTAATTCTTTTTCCAACCTGCCTCTTAAAAGCTTAGAGCGGGGGCTGAACCAGGCAGATGCTAGCGCTGATTAATCTCATGAATCAGCTACAGAAACCTGTGATCCTGATTATTCTTTACAACTGATTGTTATTATGTATCAGGTTGTGGTTGGCAGTTTTCTGGCTGGAAACCAGCATGATCTGAAGACAAAGAAACAGAAACATGAGATTGTATCAACAGCAATTGTTCCTTTGTCTACTGCTGATCCAATACCTATCCTGTCATCTCCACCTTCCTTCCCTGCTCACAATTGGTCTGCATTGCCTTCTGATACGAGGAACAACATGACCACTGACATTAATGTGCCTCTATCTGCAGGGTAATATATATCCCACATGAATTTATTTTTCTGCCGACAAAAATCGTTATATAGTCCTTAGCTGTTGGGCTGCTTTCCCTGTTTGTGCCATTGAAACTTACTGGAACTAGGATGTTTTCTGAGGTTCATTTCCATGCAGAATTTTTGTTAGCTGATGATAGATGAGCTTCTCTGCTTTGGTTTGCTCATTTTGTTTGGGGTAGAATGTTCTGATGTGTTGGTTATTCCTTAGATCACCTTTCTCCTTGATTGTGAAATCCCAAGTTAATTTTTGTTGTTATTACGCCAATATCTGGTTTAGTGCAGATTTTGATCTTCCTCACTATTAATTACTGTGTAATATATCTGATAAGGGTGTTCACGGGAGAGGACCAAGACCGGTCCATCTCGGTGAACAAGGACAAGACAAGGCCTTAGTCTCGTGTCCCGTCCTATTTCCCCCTTTTTTTGAAAAAGAAATATTATAATTTTTCATATAAATTTTTTTTTATGTTAAATGGTTATTTTTTATTGGGCTTCTAAAGATAAAAACAATATACTCCTCCGGTCCTTAATATAAGACTTATTTAACTAATTTGATTAAATTAAGGAAGTTAAGTAAATTAGTTAATTATAAGAAATATGACACGTTTTTATTAAAATATCATAATTATCTCTTTTAATACCCCATCTTCTTTTTCTATTTAATTATAGTTGAGAGAGTATTTATAAGGGTAATCTAGAGAAAATTGATAAATATAAGAAATGGGTTTTATATTTAAGACTAAAATTAACTCAACAATTAGGTCTTATGTTAAGGACTTGAGGAGAAAAAAATATTACGTAGAAAACTTAATTATATAATATAAAAAATGTATAAAAACAATACTATTAAAAAAATACGGTAAAAGAAACAATATATAATGGTTTTATGAATATTTTATTGAGAAAGGAGATTTTGTTAAGATAATATTACGACTTAAGGGTTAAAAATTACTATAAAAATAATAATAATAATTATTATTAATAAATAATTTTTTTTAAAAAAAATTACCCTAGGACAAGTGGGACAATCCTGTCCCGTCCCGGTCATTATTCCCGTCCTGTTCTGTATTTGTCTTGTCCCAAATTTTTTTGTCCTATCCCAGGAAGGATAAAACATTGAACACTCCTAGTTATTATGAACTATGGTAGTGTGCTCGGGTTATCTCAAACATTTTTGAATCAAGTTAATTGAATCCTTTATTAGAAATAGAAATAAACAGCCAACCTAACTGATATGTTCCATTATGAGAGGAGGAATAAAAATTGAAAAGCCAGAAACCTAGTTCACATTGAAAATTGAACTGATCAATAATTTTAAGGGTCAGCAGTTTGACTTTGCTTGAACTAAAAGTAAATTCATGACACCAGTGTAAACTCAGGTTTCTCGGGTTCAACTTGGATCCTAGTGCTTAATTTTTCACATGAATCAAGATAAATAAAAAGAAACTTTCCAATCATTGACTCAAACTGATTGTAGAACCGAATCCTCCCATGTAGAATGTGGAGGACCCTAGAGGATGCAACCCTCTCGTGTGCCCTCATGTTAAAGAAGCATAGTTTGTTATTACCTCGGGTTTTAATTATAAAACCTCATTTATATACTATAAAAAAAGTTTTATAATTAGGAGTAGAAATAGTATTACTTTATTTATATGTATTTCTTGCAAGCTTCTAGAATTTTCTTGTTCTGTCTAGTGTCTGTCTATATGATTATGATATTACTCTATTAATCTTGCGTTGTTTGACCGAAATAATAATAACGAGGTTTTCAACGTGATTTTTTCCATTTATGATGTTCAGACTCTTAATTTTATTTGAAGAGATATCTTATTACTTTTACTTAATTCAACCATAATGTTTAGAAGTATTTAATTCACTTAATTTTTTTGTGGGTCAATATAAATTGCCCACCGTAAAAATCTGGTCAAAATTACTCGTTTGAAAAATATTTAAAAAGGCCGACATCCATATATATACTATTAGGCATGCGATGTGCCTTTTTTTTTCACTAGAATTACAAAATGACCTTTTTTTTCACTTTAGTCTATATTTTTAATTGTAACATATATAATATATAAATTAAAATATATGTTTAATCACCACCCACTAGTTGGCCAAAAAGAAAAAAAGAAAAATCACCACCCACTAGTCCGCGACCAAATTAATAAATTACAAGCTACTCTTCCGGTCCTTAATATAGGACATAATTCTTGAGTTGGTTTTGGTCCCTATAGATACTCCATCAACTATAATCGAGTAGAAAAGGGAAATGTGGTATTAATAAAGATGAATATGGTGGTTTAGGAAAAATGTGTCACTTTTCTTATAATTAACTAACTTACCTAACTTCCTTAATCTAATCAAATTAGTTAAATGAGTCTTATATTAAGAACCGGAAAAGTACTATTATGAGGTCAACTATTGATCAAATTTAAAGACCTTTTATTTTTAATAATGGCAAAAAAAAAAACCTTTAAAATATTCACCAAAAAAAAAACAAACATTTAAGTACCATCATCTACTTAGCTAGGTCGTTCTTCCGTCAATCAAATATTTCACATAATACCAAAACTTAGAATCTTCATTTTTTTTTAAATTTTTAATAGAACTATAGAAGTGAAACCAAACTAATAAAAACACCATTCAGTGATTTAAATTTAAAGGGAGCGTGATAGTTGAGGACCAAAAGATTAAATTAATTAAATATTATGATAAAAAAATTCGAAAATACAAAAATAAGAATTAAAGATGTTTTCACTTTTCAGTGATTTGATACTTTTATTCCTTAATTCACAACTTGGTAATATCACTAATTTGCGGGTGAGATTTTTCTATTTATGAAAGAAAAAAGTAATTTGTTGAAGATACAATTTTTTTTAGTAAAAAATCAATTATATAAAGTGAACAAAAATTATACTACTAAGGTGGGTATTGTATAGTTAGGGGAATTAGAAATTAATAAAACATCAGTTTCATATGGGGAGTAATAGAAAAAGATTTAAGCAGTATGTTGATATTCTTTTCCAATGTGACGCTCAAAACAGAATGGATAAGGAAACGTCTGAGCAAACTTGTTAAATATCCAATGACTTTTTATGGTTTGATATTCATGTTATTTTATTGATAACTTTGTTGTTGCTAATTTGCAATCAATATTTTCTATTGATGAAGGAAAATGAATAGTTTTCATAACTTCTTATAGTTTGATATTAATATTTCTTGATTTATGATTTTATAATTATTAATTTACAAGTGAGATTCGTCATTTTAATATGAGGGTATACTAGCAAATTCATTCTTAGGCCAAATCACTAGGGGTTTGTTTGGTTGGAGGGTAGGGGAGGGAAAATGAACCCCTCCCCTCATTTGGTTAAAAATTTTGGAAGGGAGGGAAGCCAAAATGTCCCCTCCCCTCCCCTCATTTTAGATCCCCTTTAAATTAGGGGTTTTTGGAAGGGAGCTAAATTTTTAGATCATTATACCTTTATAGTTTTTTAATATTCTACTTCTACCCATAAAATATATTATTATAATATTTATTTTAAATAAAAAATATATTATCCTAAGTAAAAAATAAAATTTATAAATTATTATAACTAAAAAATATATTATAAAAAATTAATTAAAAATAAAAAATTATTTAAATAAAAAATTATAATATTATAAAATTAATTTTTTTCTATAAATATATTATTTATTAAATATATTTTAAAGCTGAAAAAAGGATAGCCCAAAGAGAATAAAATTTCATTTTTCTTAGAGCACATAAAATTTGTTAATTTGATTATTTTAAATATATTATTATATTAATTAGAATAAAAATTACTGTACCAATTTTTTAATGCACATATTAACATGATAAGACTGAATTTTTATTAAATTATATAATTTAAATTAAGATGTAAATTAATTTATATAATATATCAATAAAAAATATAAACTAATATGTAAGGGTAAAATGGTAAATTGATTATTACTATCATTCTTCTCCCCTTCTTGAACCAAACAAGGGATCTTTAACTATCTTCTCCTCTCTTCCTTTTTAATCAAACCAAATAAGGTGAGGATAAAACCTCCTCTCCCTTTTCCTATCCTACCCCCTCTACCCTCCTCTCAAACCAAACAGGCCCTAGAGAACCTTTGGTTGTCTTTTTTTTTTTGGGGAGGGGGAGGTTGGTTGTTCCTTGTTGAGGTTGCCAAATTGTTGTTCTTAAATAAAATTAATTCAATCTTTTGATCCTTAAATGTCATCCGCCCCTGATTTAAATTTCGTATCTATTGTTATTAAGGCTCTGTTTGGATAGCACCCCAAACCATGGTTTGGGGAAAATGCTACCCAAACAGCCTCTCCAAAAACCAAAACCATGGTTTTGGGTCAAAACCATGGTTTTGACTCCAAAACCATGGTTTTGGAAAAAGCAAAATTTTTTTGCTTTTGGAGAAAAAAAGGAGAATGTGAGGGCCTATATGATATGTATCTTGTTATTTTTTTTATAAACATATTTTTTTATAAATATATTTAATCTTATATTTTAAATATATATAGACATTAATTAATTATTAATTATATTATCTTATGTATTATTAATTATGTTGGTAAAAAACATATTATTAACAATTTATTTCTTCAAATTAAAATATATCATAAATCTATTTTTTCTGTAATTATCATATTAACTTATGTCTTTTTTTTAGTAATTTGTATATATAAAAAGTGCTTCTGATAACAACTATCCAAACACTCTCACTTCTCAGAATCACTTTTTTACAAAATCTATTATTCACAGAATCTATTTTTTCCAGAATCTATTCTCCAGAATCACTTTTCCAAACCACGGTTTGGTTTCATCCAAACACACCCTAAATCACATTCCGAGCTATTTTTGCTCCGATACCCCTTTCTATCTCTAATTTTATGGAAACAAAATTCTTTTAATATTTTTTTAAAAAAAGTATTTCTATTTTCATTTTAAACGATGATAATAAAATGGCAAAAAACA